AACAGGGTGCCAAATAGACCCGGTTTAGTTACTCCTTTTGGAACCCCGGGCCCCCTAAAAAAAAAGCCTCCTTCCCGTAAACCCTTTTTCCTTGGGGGTTTTTCCCAAAGAGCCTGTTTTAAATGATACATCCAAAAAGACAGTGGGCATAAACCGGAAAGGTAGATACTTTAAGAAAATTTTCCATTAGCTTGGCCATAGTTATAAAAAACGTTCCAATAAGAAACCCTTTTTCTTTTAAAATAAAAAACCCAAATTTTGGGAAAATGTTTAAGGCCTGCAAAAATCCCCCTTTAACGGGTTTTTTAAGCCTTTAAAAAGGTTATTAAAACTCCCCAAAAGGGAAGTGTTTTTTTGAAAGTTTTTCAAAATTATAAATATTTAAAAAAGGGAAAGTCTTAGAATAAATATTCAACCCCTTTGTTATGGCAAGCCTAAATAAATTCAGGAGTAAAAATGTGCCTAACAAGTCACATAATAAGTTGCATGGACTCACTCTGTGTACAATAATAGTATTTAACATGATTTTTAAATGACTACCCCATCTCTGTACCCCACACATACAATTATCTGTAAGGTTCCTCAGTCGAGCAGTGAATTTCAAACACAGATTTAACCACAAAGACACTGAATATCCCTTTGAGCATGGTGACGTTTTTAATTACTCTTTGGATGGTGTATCAATACACCCAGTCACTACAAAGTTACAGAAGTCCTTCCTAACTCAGTTGCCAGAGAGGAAGGAAACCGCTCAGGGATTTCACCATGAGGCCAATGGTGACTTCAAAACAGTTACAGAGTTTAATGGCTGTGATAGGAGAAAACTGAGGATGGATCAACAACATTGTAGTTACTCCACAATACTAACCTAAATGACAGAGTGAAAAGAAGGAAGCCTGTACAGAATAAAATTATTCCATAACATGCGTCCTGTTTGCAATAAGGCACTAAGGTCTCTATTCAATCCGCATCGCGCAAGTTCAACATTACAACGTGATTGAAATTTAAAGGCAATGTTCCTGCATTCACGGTAAACGCTTCATATGTCGGCTCAATCGGAAATGACCTTAACATTTCTATTAACATTTCTAATGGCCCAGTATCTCTATTTGCACATAATCTCTTGCACATCTATCATTCCAGTGTTAATACTAATTGTAATTATTTTGCACTATGGCCTATTTATTGCCTTACCTCCATAACTTGCTACATTTGCACACACTGTATATATATTTTCTGTTCTGTTAGAAATCCAGGGCTTAAAAACAAAGGCGTCATTGTACGCTGATGATTCATGTTTTCTTTTAAATCCACAACTAGAATCCCTCCACAGCCTCATAGAGGATCTAGATACATTTTCTAACCTCTCTGGATTACAACCAAATTATGACAAATGTACTATATTACGTATTGGATCACTAAAAAATACAATTTTTACCATTTACCAATAAAATGGTCTGATGGTGATGTGGATATACTCAGAATACATATCCGAAAGGAAATAAATGATCTCACTTCAATACATTTTAATAGAAAGTTAGCAAAAATAGATAAGATCTTGCTACCATGGAAAGGTAAATACCTGTCAATTTGTGGAAAAATCACCCTAATTAACTCTTTAGTATTATCCCAGTTTACCTATTTGCTTATGGGCTTGCCTACGCCTAGCGAACAGTTTTTTAAATGATATGAATAAAAAATATTCAATTTTATTTGGAACGGCAAGTCAAAACTTAGAATCTTTCAATTTAAATTATTATATAAAATTCTTGCTACCAATAGAATGTTATTTATATGGGGGATACAATCTTCCCAGCTCTGCAGATTTTGCTGCGAAGAGACAGAATCATTGGATCATTTGTTTTGGTACTGTCCATTTGTAGCTTGTTTTTGGACACAGGTCCAGGAATGGCTAAAGGATTGCAATATTTACCTGGAGCTAACCCTGCAGATAGCATTACTGGGTGATCTGAAAAGTCATAGTCAATCGATCAATAATATAATAATACTTTTAGCAAAAATGTTTATTTTCAAATTTACAATCTGTAGAAGCAATGAGAATAGAAAGGTTCAGAACTTTTGTGAAACATCACAGTACAGTTGAAAAATATATGGCAAATAGAAATCCTATATAGATGGTGTTAAGAGATAGATGGGTGGTGTTGAATGGAGTTGAAGGATGGGACTAATAACAACTAACAACAACTAATAACAAGATAACTAATAATGTAAAGCATACTGTGTCCATAATAAGTATATAGGTTATAGGTTGAAAGCTTTTGTGAAAGAGCACAGTTAGAAAGATATGGCATATAGAAGCAAACTGGATGGACATCATGAAAATGATCGGAGAGGTTGAGAGTAGAGGAAGTTCAGGAGCAAAAAGAAACAAAATATAATTATTGTAATATTGACTGTGTCCATAAAATGTATATAGTAAGTATAAGCTGGAAGTAGAGGCCTAAGCATTGTTGTTCACTAGTTTACTCCAATTAGGGAAAGGGTGGTGGGGTTGGAAAGTAATAAAGGGGAATATATTTTTTTTAAAGGATATGTATATGTATGTGTACAGTGGGGAAAAAAAGTATTTAGTCAGCCACCAGTTGTGCAAGTTCTCCCACTTAAAAAGATGAGAGAGGCCTGTAATTTTCATCATAGGTACACATCAACTATGACAGACAAAATTAGAAAAAAAATCCAGAAAATCACATTGTAGGATTTTTTATGAATTTATTTGCAAATTATGGTGGAAAATAAGTATTTGGTCAATAACAAAAGTTTCTCAATACTTTTTTATATACCCTTTGTTGGCAATGACACAGGTCAAACGTTTTCTGTAAGTCTTCACAAGGTTTTCACACACTGTTGCTGGTATTTTGGCCCATTCCTGGGGTTGAGATCTGGAGACTGGCTAGGCCACTCCAGGACCTTGAAATGCTTCTTACAAAGCCACTCCTTCGTTGCCCGGGCGGTGTGTTTGGGATCATTGTCATGCTGAAAGACCCAGCCACGTTTCATCTTCAATGCCCTTGCTGATGGAAGGAGGTTTTCACTCAAAATCTCACGATACATGGCCCCATTCATTCTTTCCTTTACACGGATCAGTCGTCCTGGTCCCTTTGCAGAAAAACAGCCCCAAAGCATGATGTTTCAACCCCATGCTTCACAGTAGGTATGGTGTTCTTTGGATGCAACTCAGCATTCTTTGTCCTCCAAACACAACGAGTTGAGTTTTTACCAAAAAGTTCTATTTTGGTTTCATCTGACCATATGACATTCTCCCAATCCTCTTCTGGATCATCCAAATACACTCTAGCAAACTTCAGACGGGCCTGGACATGTACTGGCTTAAGCAGGGGGACACGTCTGCCACTGCAGGATTTGAGTCCCTGGTGGCGTAGTGTGTTACTGATGGTAGGATTTGTTACTTTGGTCCCAGCTCTCTGCAGATCATTCACTAGGTCCCCCCGTGTGGTTCTGGGATTTTTGCTCACCGTTCTTGTGATCATTTTGACCCCACGGGGTGAGATCTTGCGTGGAGCCCCAGATCGAGGGAGATTATCAGTGGTCTTGTATGTCTTCCATTTCCTAATAATTGCTTCCACAGTTGATTTCTTCAAACCAAGCTGCTTACCTATTGCAGATTCAGTCTTCCCAGCCTGGTGCAGGTCTACAATTTTGTTTCTGGTGTCCTTTTGACAGCTCTTTGGTCTTGGCCATAGTGGAGTTTGGAGTGTGACTGTTTGAGGTTGTGGACAGGTGTCTTTTATACTGATAACAAGTTCAAACATGTGCCATTAATACAGGTAACGAGTGGAGGACAGACGAGCCTCTTAAAGAAGAAGTTACAGGTCTGTGAGAGCCAGAAATCTTGCTTGTTTGTAGGTGACCAAATACTTATTTTCCACCATAATTTGCAAATAAGTTCATAAAAAATCCTACAATGTGATTTTCTGGATTTTGTTTTCTCAATTTGTCTTTCATAGTTGACGTGTACCTATGATGAAAATTACAGGCCTCTCTCATCTTTTTAAGTGGGAGAACTTGCACAATTGGTGGCTGATTAAATACTTTTTCCCCCACTGTATATATATAAAACATGGGGGATTGGAAGTGATGCAGACAATTACATTGATGGAAGTTACAATCTATCTGCAATATTAAAGCTGATCTACCCCCCACCAAAAAAAAAAAAAAAAAAAAAGAACAGGAAGTTAGTACCTAGGCCTGATGGATGGATGGGCACTAAGAACAGGAAGTTAGGACCTAGGCCTGATGGATGGATGGGCAGTAACAGGAAGTTAGGACCTAGGCCTGATGGATGGATGGGCACCAAGAACAGGAAGTTAGTACCTAGGCCTGATGGATGGATGGGCACTAAGAACAGGAAGTTAGGACCTAGGCCTGATGGATGGATGGGCACTAAGAACAGGAAGTTAGGACCTAGGCCTGATGGATGGATGGGCACCAAGAACAGGAAGTTAGGACCTAGGCCTGATGGATGGATGGGCACTAAGAACAGGAAGTTAGGACCTAGGTCTGATGGATGGATGGGCACTAAGAACAGGAAGTTAGGAACTAGGCCTGATGGATGGATGGGCACCAAGAACAGGAAGTTAGGACCTAGGCCTGATGGATGGATGGGCACCAAGAACAGGAAGTTAGGACCTAGGCCTGATGGATGGATGGGCACTAAGAACAGGAAGTTAGGACCTAGGCCTGATGGATGAATGGGCACCAAGAACAGGAAGTTAGGACCTAGGCCTGATGGATGGATGGGCACCAAGAACAGGAAGTTAGGACCTAGGCCTGATGGATGGATGGGCACTAAGAACAGGAAGTTAGGACCTAGGCCTGATGGATGGATGGGCACCAAGAACAGGAAGTTAGGACCTAGGTCTGATGGATGGATGGGCACTAAGAACAGGAAGTTAGGACCTAGGCCTGATGGATGGATGGGCACCAAGAACAGGAAGTTAGGACCTAGGCCTGATGGATGAATGGGCACTAAGAACAGGAAGTTAGGACCTAGGCCTGATGGATGGATGGGCACCAAGAACAGGAAGTTAGGACCTAGGTCTGATGGATGGATGGGCACTAAGAACAGGAAGTTAGGACCTAGGCCTGATGGATGGATGTCACCAAGAACAGGAAGTTAGGACCTAGGTCTGATGGATGGATGGGCACTAAGAACAGGAAGTTAGGACCTAGGCCTGATGGATGAATGGGCACCAAGAACAGGAAGTTAGGACCTAGGTCTGATGGATGGATGGGCACTAAGAACAGGAAGTTAGGACCTAGGCCTGATGGATGGATGGGCACCAAGAACAGGAAGTTAGGACCTAGGCCTGATGGATGGATGGGCACTAAGAACAGGAAGTTCATCTCCCGAGTGGCGCAGTGGTCTAAGGCTGTGCCACTAGAGATCCTGGTTCGAATCCAGGCTCTGTCATAGCCGGCCGCGACCGGGAGACCAATGGGGCGGCGCGCAATTGGCCCAGCGTCGTCCAGGGTAGGGGAGGGAATGGCCGGCAGGGATGTAGCTCAGTTGATAGAGCATGGCGTTTGCAACGCCAGGGTTGTGGGTTTGATTCCCACAGGGGGTATGACAAAAAAATGTATGCATTAACTGTAGGTCGCTCTGGATAAGAGCGTCTGCTAAATGACTAAAATGTAAAAATGTAAATGTAAGTTAGTACCTAGGCCTGATGGATGAATGGGCACCAAGAACAGGAAGTTAGGACCTAGGCCTGATGGATGGATGGGCACTAAGAACAGGAAGTTAGGACCTAGGCCTGATGGATGGATGGGCACTAAGAACAGGAAGTTAGGACCTAGGCCTGATGGATGAATGGGCACTAAGAACAGGAAGTTAGGACCTAGGCCTGATGGATGAATGGGCACTAAGAACAGGAAGTTAGGACCTAGGCCTGATGGATGGATGGGCACTAAGAACAGGAAGTTAGGACCTAGGCCTGATGGATGAATGGGCACTAAGAACAGGAAGTTAGTACCTAGGCCTGATGGATGAATGGGCACCAAGAACAGGAAGTTAGGACCTAGGCCTGATGGATGGATGGGCAGTAACAGGAAGTTAGGACCTAGGCCTGATGGATGGATGGGCACCAAGAACAGGAAGTTAGGACCTAGGCCTGATGGATGGATGGGTACTAAGAACAGGAAGTTAGGACCTAGGCCTGATGGATGGATGGGCACTAAGAACAGGAAGTTAGGACCTAGGCCTGATGGATGGATGGGCACCAAGAACAGGAAGTTAGGACCTAGGCCTGATGGATGGATGGGCACTAAGAACAGGAAGTTAGGACCTAGGCCTGATGGATGGATGGGCACTAAGAACAGGAAGTTAGGACCTAGGCCTGATGGATGAATGGGCACTAAGAACAGGAAGTTAGTACCTAATGGGCATTAACAGGAAGTTGGTTCTCCTCCTCCAGCAACCCCATGTCGTCAGTGTTGCGTATGTGTGTCAATGTGTGTGACACATTTACATTGGGACCTCTACACTCACAGTAACATGTTAACTTAACATGACACACCAGTTACACCGTGTGATGAGAATCAACACACACAATACAAAGGCTTTTTATATAGAAGCGCTTGTTTTCTGTATTGCATTAATCAGCCATACAGACCTTAACACAAGCAGCCAGGCCAGGGGGACATGATGTACAGACAGCCATACAGACCTTAACACAAGCAGCCAGGCCAGGGGGACATGATGTACAGACAGCCATACAGACCTTAACACAAGCAGCCAGGCCAGGGGGACAGGATGTACAGACAGCTATAATGCCACTTAATTGACGTAATCTTCATACTATTTCAGGGCACTTTAAGTAGCTGAGCTTAGCCAGCCCAACTGACATGGAGACTTTGTTCCAGCAGGTTTTTTGTAGTGCGACCCGCCAGATCAGGCCAATAGTTTTGGAGAGAAAACAGGGTGTCTGCCTCCCAAATCGCACCCTGTTCCATATTTATGGCACTCCTTTTGATCAGCGCCCCGTTAGGAAAAGGGTGGCATTTGGGACACATGCCGCTAAACTAACAGTCAGAGGGTCAGCAGAATGAGAGGTTCCAAATGGCACTCCCATCCCCAACATAGTGCACTACTTTAGACCAGAACCCCCCGTGGACCCTGGTCAGGAGTAGTGCACTATATAGGGAATAGGGTGCCATTTGGGATACACAGTGTGTAATAAGGCCTGCCTGGTGATGCTATCTGACCAGTCAACCCTGCTAGCTGAAACAACTAGCTGTCGCTCGATGACGTCAATATGGACTGAACAACCTCTGTACCGGAGTGGACCGGTCGGAGTGGACCGGTTAGAGCCATTAATAAACAGGCCTAAACAGGACCAGCTGGAGTGGGAGATATAGCATTGGGTTTATAACGGTATCTGTCATGCCACATTTACATCTTAAATGGACTTTGGTTTGTTGAATCAACGCTGACTTGCCAGAGAGGTGAAGATATTCCATGTAGATACTGAATCAACGCTGACTTGCCAGAGAGGTGAAGATATTCCATGTAGATACTGAATCAACGCTGACTTGCCAGAGAGGTGAAGATATTCCATGTAGATACTGAATCAACGCTGACTTGCCAGAGAGGTGAAGATATTCCATGTAGATACTGAATCAACGCTGACTTGCCAGAGAGGTGAAGATATTCCATGTAGATACTGAATCAACGCTGACTTGCCAGAGAGGTGAAGATATTCCATGTAGATACTGAATCAACGCTGACTTGCCAGAGAGGTGAAGATATTCCATGTAGATACTGAATCAACGCTGACTGGCCAGAGAGGTGAAGATATTCCATGTAGATACTGAATCAACGCTGACTGGCCAGAGAGGTGAAGATATTCCATGTAGATACTGAATCAACGCTGACTGACCTACTGTAGATATGGTACTATTTTGCCGCTGTCATCACGCCAAACAACAAAGGAATTGGTTAACATACAAATCTGGCTGGGCTAAAACATGACACATGGGAACTACGTTGATGTTGTCCTCCTGAGGTGCCTTTCAGTCCAACTATTGCCACTGTTATCTTCCTGCCAAATCACACATACATTGGCTAAAGCAAAAAACACTAAATATAAGAATTCCCTTAGTCCTCTGTTGGTCTGCTGAAGGTTGTTCTAAAGGCTGTTGGTTTTGGTGGGTTGAAGGTAGAAGTTTAGCTAAAACTGTTGGTGGTACATGTAGTTAGAGGTTGACATAAGGCCTCAGTCCTCTGTTGGTCTGTGGTAGTTGTAGTCCTCTATCAGGTTGTGGTCTGGGTCTCCGTTGGTCTGTGGTAGTTGTAGTCCTCTATCAGGTTGTGGTCTGGGTCTCTGTTGGTCTGTGGTAGTTGTAGTCCTCTATCAGGTTGTGGTCTGGGTCTCCGTTGGTCTGTGGTAGTTGTAGTCCTCTATCAGGTTGTGGTCTGGGTCTCTGTTGGTCTGTGGTAGTTGTAGTCCTCTATCAGGTTGTGGTCTGGGTCTCTGTTGGTCTGTGGTAGTTGTAGTCCTCTATCAGGTTGTGGTCTGGGTCTCTGTTGGTCTGTTGTAGTTGTAGTCCTCTATCAGGTTGTGGTCTGGGTCTCTGTTGGTCTGTGGTAGTTGTAGTCCTCTATCAGGTTGTGGTCTGGGTCTCTGTTGGTCTGTTGTAGTTGTAGTCCTCTATCAGGTTGTGGTCTGGGTCTCTGTTGGTCTGTGGTAGTTGTAGTCCTCTATCAGGTTGTGGTCTGGGTCTCTGTTGGTCTGTTGTAGTTGTAGTCCTCTATCAGGTTGTGGTCTGGGTCTCTGTTGGTCTGTGGTAGTTGGAGACCTCTATCAGGTTGTGGTCTGGGTCTCCGTTGGTCTGTGGTAGTTGGAGACCTCTATCAGGTTGTGGTCTGGGTCTCTGTTGGTCTGTGGTAGTTGGAGACCTCTATCAGGTTGTGGTCTGGGTCTCTGAAGTAGAGAGAGGTGATGGGGCCCACCGCTCCACTCCTCTCCACCGGACCCTCCTCTATCTCAACACCACACGCCTGCAGGTGACAGACAGGTGGACAGACAGACAGGTGGACAGACAGACAGGTGGACAGACAGACAGGTGGACAGATGGACAGACAGATAGACGGACAGATGGACAGAAAGATAGACGGACAGATGGTCACACAGGGACTTGCAGGACATGGCAGAACAGCAACTTACTGGAAGACAACATATCCATCCATAAGGTTCAGGTGGAGGACTGAAACCAAGTACTAGATAACTTGGAGGTGTATCGCTGTGTCCACTGTGTGTGTGTCTGTGTGTCCACTGTGTGTGTGTCTGTGTGTCCACTGTGTGTGTGTCTACTGTGTGTGTGTGTCGCTGTGTCCACTGTGTGTGTGTCTGTGTGTCCACTGTGTGTGTGTCTGTGTGTCCACTGTGTGTGTGTCTGTGTGTCCACTGTGTGTGTGTCTGTGTGTGTGTCACCTTTAGGTGTGTAGCTACAGCATCCAGGGGGGTGGTGGTGATGAGACAGAGGTCAGCTGATCCTGAAGTGGGTCTCAGAGCCTTGGGTTCAAACTCCTGACCCACCTGGTGCAGGTTCAACTTCTGCTGCCCAAAACACAGCGCCTTACGGTCACCCTGGGGTAAAGAAGAAGAGAGAGACTGGTGAAGGCTAGCATCTGCTGGAGTTTTTCCACAGGCTTACACAGTCCAGTTGGAGAGTTTATCTATGATTTATTTAATGACCTTGTTGGTTGTTAGCGGAAACTATTCTGGAAACTACCATGGGCAGAACAGTAGAAAACGTTTTGACAACACACGTTTTATCCGAAGTAGAATAATTAACGTCTCAGTAAAAGTGATCAATAGACTAATCATTGATTATGCAGTACATTGTGTGTCAGTACTCAGAATGTACCTTAAAGGTGATGACCTCCATGCCCAGGACAGAGGAGTAGAAGGTGCAGGTGTCTGGAACACTCTTCACGGTCAACACCAGGTGGTCCAGGTGACTCACCTGTACAGGGCCGGAGCTCTTACACCTCCCCACCCCCACCACAGGCAGCCCCCGCACCCCGAACACAGGCAGCCCACAGGACGGGGTCTGTAGCTGCGACGACATGGCCAGAGACAGGTTGGTGAATGTAGGTGCGCAAAAAAAAAAAAAAAACATGAACGCAAACAAAAGTATTCACATTAACGTGTAGACAGCGTCCCTACGTGGTCAAATTAAGTAGTACTATGATCAATTCAACCAACATCTGGGGTACACTGTATTCGGGTAATTACGGTAATTGAACCCACTGTAGCTGTGTCATTTCCGCGATTTGTAGAATTCGATATTAATTAGTCTAGATACAGGTTAATAGCTTACAATTTAATACAGAAGGTATACTGTCGACGACTACACATGCCCCTCGTTAATACAAGTATTTTCCAAAGACAAGGAACTATTCTGTAGCTCCGTTTCAGAACAGGTGACATTCGTTTTGTTCTACAGGTCTTACCTGGCGGTAAATCCCTTGAAAACGCCCCAAGTGAAAACCTAAAGTCCGGAGCGCCATCGTTCCTTTGTACGGTCGAAAACAAATGGGTTAAATTTCACCCTTCACTTCCTTCTTATTCACCTGACCATAATACCGTAATTCCTAGAGTATTTTGCCATTCCTAGAGTATTTTGCCTACAACGTAAAAACATGGGGGTGAAATCATATCTGCTTCATGTGAACATAATGGTTATCCTAATCTAGATTTTGAAGTGATCCACGGAGGTTTTGATGCATATATCTTTATTGTAATAAACATATAAAACGTTCAGGCTCTGTGAGGCCAGGTGGTCAGACACACAGTGGGCGAGTCGAGACTGATCACCTTGCATCATAAATAACTACTAAATATGTTTATTTGTAGATCCGTCAGTCATTCAGAATTGACCCATGATAGGCTGCATCACAGTTCTGATGCTCCCGAACATAGCCATAGCCAATATGTCGCTGCTCAGGTGTGGTACAATGAGGCAGGGTTTCCCGAACTCGGTCCTGAATGAACACAGATAGAACAATGAGACAGATATTTCACAGGATCTATACACTTGAGGCATCCGCTTGGCGTTTCCACTCACTATCAGATATGGTGGAGAAGCCTAGTGGCGGCAGTGGGAGAAGATGGAACAAGATGGATTTTTGGCCGACATTCTGCTCATTTTCTGATCGATGAAACATTTGATCTCAATACTTTTCAGTTCCCAAAACTAAAATATGTAACGAACAGAGTGGACAAAGTTGTATATACTTTACCCGTTGTCAACATAAAAAAATTAAACAATAAATGGAGTTATTGCGCACGCACACTTCAGAGTAGGCGTTCCCTAAGGGAAATATGCTAATGTCTGCTAGAACGCGCCAATAGGATCTCGCTAGCTCGTGTTTGGTTCTGCCCACTTTGAGTCATTTGTTCTCGTTTGAAACGACGGGCTGTGGTCATTCTTGGTTTAGTTATAAAAATCTTCAGTATGAATGCCCTGATTTATGCAGAGGCCATATCACTGTAAATGCTGCATGGCCAATGAAGACATCTGATTGACAATGCAGCGCCTTTCATGCTGCGTTCATAACCAAGTGGGAAGGTGGTATTTATCACATGTATACAACTAGGAAAATCCACTTGAACGCCCCAACTGGTAATTACTAGTGGGAAACTCCCGAGACTCCCGAGTGGTGCAGTGCTAACTGTGCCACTAGAGATCCTGGTTCGAATCCAGGCTCTGTCGTAGCCGGCCGCGACCGGGAGACTCATGGGGCGGCGCACAGTTGGCCCAGCGTCGTCCAGGGTAGGGTAGGGAATGGCCGGCAGGGATGTAGCTCAGTTGGTAGAGCATGGCGTTTGCAACGCCGGGGTTGTGGGTTCGATTCCCATGGGGTGCCGGTATGAAAAATAATGTATGCACTCACTAACTGTAAGTCGCTCTGGATAAGAGCGTCTGCTAAATGACTAAAACTCCATCATCAGCTTCCACATGCTGCCCTCTGATGTCACCTACAAAGGAAATGACCTCAATAACAGCATTTAAAAGCATCCAACTGGTACCACCTTCCCACTTGGTTATGATCGAGGTGATCATATAATCACCTCACTGTCCGTCTCCCTCTGAAGAGGTGCTCCACCTGTGGGTTAAAACAGCCTTTCAGGACTCCTTTCCAACGGGTGTGTCCGTTACAATAGATTACTGCGATGCTATACCTCCAAAATCAAGTGGTCACGCCTCCCTTGGAGAAGCCTAGTTCACGACCAGGCTAGTTGTAACGTGGCCCTCTCAAAGTCCCCCGTGTGAACTGAACTACCCACATCTTCCGTGTGGATCAACAATAATATTTTAAAAAATATATATCCTTCAACTAAGGCAAAACAACTAGTAGAGATGGTTGGGTGCCCTTGGTGAACATTCGGATATTAAACTACATCCTGTTAAAATACAGGACTGGCTTATGCCCCAAATGGCACCCTATTCCCTTTATAGTGCACTTCTCTTGACCAGAGCCCAGTGGGTGTCCCATCTGGTGTCCCACAGGGTGTCCCAAATGGTTCTGGTTAAAAGTAGTGCACTATAGGGAATAGGGTGCCATTTGGGATGCACTCCCAACACACTGCAGTAGAAGGCCATGATGAAGACAGCCAGGCTAGTAGGGAAGCGCAGCCAGAAAGACAGAATACATTTAATTTACAGCTGGTCATTATCAACAATAACAGAGCTTCAACCACCCAAAACTTTATTTATACAGGGAGGAGGTAATGACGGCAACCGTGAGAACACATGGAACCTATAGAATAATGTGATGTCATCATGGCATAGAACGCTCCCTCCCTCCGTCTGCACGTACAGCCAACCTATAGCATCCTACAGTCCCACCGCTCGCCAAGAAATAGTGCTATCGGAATGTACAGAAAGAACCAAGCTCTAGAAAATAAAAAGCTTAACACATTTTAAAAAGGGAACAAGTCTTCATTTTAAGTGTGAATATTCAGTCTACAATATTTTAGAAATAATAATATACAAGTTTAGAATATTACGCTTTGTTTTCCCTAGTTTTCTTTCAGGTTTTCCACTTTGTAGTTATTATTGCACTGGTGTTCCAGATATGAAGAAGACTCTTGGTGCTAGACGTTCTAGGCCTAGACAGAGGACAGAGGCCTGGCCGGGGTCTAACCTGGCCTGGCCGGCGTCTAACCTGGCCTGGCTCTAACTTAGCCTGGGTCTAACCTGGCCTGGCTCTAACTTAGCCTGGGTCTAACCTGGCCTGGCTCTAATTTAGCCTGGGTCTAACCTGGCCTGGCTCTAACTTAGCCTGGGTCTAACCTGGCCTGGCTCTAACTTGGCCTGGGTCTAACCTGGCCTGGCTCTAACTTAGCCTGGGTGTAACCTGGCCTGGCTCTAACTTAGCCTGGGTCTAACCTGGCCTGGCTCTAACTTAGCCTGGGTGTAACCTGGCCTGGCTCTAACTTAGCCTGGGTCTAACCTGGCCTGGCTCTAACTTGGCCTGGGTCTAACCTGGCCTGGCTCTAACTTGGCCTGGGTCTAACTTGGCCTGGCTCTAACCTGGCCTGGCTCTAACCTGGCCTGGCTCTAACCTGGCCTGGCTCTAACCTGGCCTGGCTCTAACCTGGCCTGGCTCTAACCTGGCCTGGCTCTAACCTGGCCTGGCTCTAACCTGGCCTGGCTCTAACCTGGCCTGGCCGGGGTCTAAATCCAGATCCTTCACGCAACAACACATGGAAACCATCAAAGTGATTCCCAGATGGCCTTATTCCCTATATCGAGCACTACTTCAGATCAGAGTCCTAGAGGGTATATATAGGGTGGCGTTTGGGACGGAGCCATAATGCAGCCGTCCTGGTTCACTTCCTGGTGATATTGCAGCAGAACCAACAGGTTGTCATGGTGACATCACAGGGTTAGGATCACTAGGAGGTTCATTATCATTCAGGGCCCGTATCCACAAAGCGTATCACAGTAGGACTGCTGATTTAGGATCAGTTGGTCATAATGAATAGGATTATATGGCCTGATCCTATATCAGCAGTCCTACTGGGAGATGCTTTGTGGATAAAGGCCAGGTCATGATGAAACACTGTCAGAGGGCAGAAACAGAAAATGCTTCATGTGATGGGCTGGAGTTAGACTAAATGCCCACATCCCATCTCAACGACGCTTCAACACAATTCATAATCAATAATCAGTACTATTGGTCCGATGTCCTGAATATGATGCAATACGATTCCAAATAAACTGATAGCTAAGAATTCCAAACTGAATCCAAGTCCGTCACATCTTGTGTTCTCCCCATTAAAGACTGTACAACATTCTACATTTTTAACTTAAAAACTAATTCAGCAAGCTTTGACACACTGACAGTCTGTGAGCCGTTCCAGAGTATTGATAAATGCAGTTAGTCTTTCAGGTGGAGAGCAGGGTCAGGTGGGGACAGTGGAGTCCCTTTTGGGGTAAGACAGGTAAGGGAGAGTGGGGTCTGTTGGCCAACAGGGGACAGTGGCATCTCTTTCTCATGTCTCTTCCTACAGAGTCTATAAGGACACTTCCTTCCTTCCTGTCAGTCCGTCTCTCGGTCTTGTCTGTCTGTCTGTCTGACTTTCCGTCTGTCTGTCCAAACACCAGCATGTCAGTTGGATAAAAACTCACTGATGGCTTAAAAAGAAAACCGGAACAATGTAAATGGCCTGACTAGGAGAAAGGCCTGCAGAACTGAAACGGTGTTATATACTGGAGGTGTCCGTCTGGAGCAGTGGTTGGCCGCCTGGCCCGGTGACCCCTGACCTCTGACCCTGCCGGTTAGACCACACTCTCCCGGTTAGCAGACACCAGCACGGCCCTGCGGCAGATGGGACAGGTGGAGTTCTCAGACAGCCAGCGGTCGATACAGTGAACATGGTACTCATGGGAACAGGGCAACTTCCTCAACTTGTTCCCCTCAGCATACTCTGTGATACACACACTGCAGGTCTTCAGAGCATCACTCTCCCCAAAGTTCCTGGTGGAGAGGTTGTCGATCTGCTCCTTGGTGAGTCCTCTGGGCTGTTCCTCATCCTCATCATTCAGGAGGAAGAAGTGAGCAAGGCGGAGGAAGGGCAGTGACCCTGGTTCCTCCAGACTGATGGGGGCGCGGGGCCGAGCTCTACCCCCCACCCCTAAACCTATCCCTGGGGCCAGACCTAGACCAACCCCCTCCTCCCCCTCCCTCTCCTCTGTCCTTGCCTCCCCGGCTCCTCCCACACTAGGCCCGCCCACGGAGACAGGAGGCTCCGCCCCCACCGCCATGCCGGCTACTCCCCCCTCGGGAGTGTTGAGCGCCTCGGCCAGGTCGGCAGCGCCGGTGGGGTTACCGGCGCCACGGTTTGAGTCCGAGGAGTCCGAGTCTGAGTCCATGAAGTAGCTGAGCTCTCCGAAGCCGGTCATGATCTGTCGTATCATGGTCTGTAGAGCCATGGAGGTGGCCTCTCCCAGCCCTGCGTCACTGATCCTCCTGATGGGGATCCGGATGGTGCTGACGTATGTCCTCACACCTGCACGCTCTGACCGGGAGAAGGTTCTGCGGAATCCCCCCCTCTCACTCTCGTACAGGAAGGTGTTGTTGGAGTTCTGGGAGCGTGAGCGGGTTCTGTTAGCAATGCTGTCCCTCTGGCGGTACTCACCTGGACGCACGCGACGCACCTGCAGGTCCAGCATGATGGTGGGGGGGCGTGGTCCTGCTGCTCCCTCCTGGGGTGGGGCGGTAGGGGGCTCTGGGGTGGTCCCAGACCCTGTGTCAAACCCTGTTCCGGCTGACTGGGCCTCATAGTCTGCGGTGCTCTGCCGGAACGGAACGTGCTGTCGAGTCCGTGAGCTTCCCTCTGCAGGGGCCTGAGGGGGCAGGGGAGGCAGGGCTGTGTGAGGGGGCGACGGTGGGTACATGGTGGGGGAGGCCGTCCAGGCGGTCCAGGGTGAGAGGGGAACGGCTCCGTGTGGTGCGAGCCCTGGTCCGGCGCTGCTCTGGGGCTACGGCTGCGGGCTCGTCTCTGGCCCCGTCGCGGAGGATCCTCAGGGGGGGGGCTGGGAGTGGCTGGGGCCGGGATGGCCTGCACCACGGGACTGGCTGGTCTGGAGACAGGAGGGGTGGTGGTGGCAGGGCTGGAGACAGGAGAGGTGGTGGTGGCAGGGCTGGAGACAGGAGGGGTGGTGGTGGCAGGGCTGGAGACAGGAGGGGTGGTGATGGCAGGGCTGGAGACAGGAGGGGTGGTGATGGCAGGGCTGGAGACAGGAGGGGTGGTGATGGCAGGGCTGGAGACCGGAGGGGTGGTGATGGCAGGGCTGGAGACAGGAGGGGTGGTGGTGGCAGGGCTGGAGACAGGAGGGGTGGTGGTGGCAGGGCTGGAGACAGGAGGGGTGGTGATGGCAGGGCTGGAGACAGGAGGGGTGGTGGTGGCAGGGCTGGAGACCGGAGGGGTGGTGGTGGCAGGGCTGGAGACAGGAGGGGTGGTGGCGGCAGGGCTGGAGACAGGAGGGGTGGTGATGGCAGGGCTGGAGACAGGAGGGGTGGTGATGGCAGGGCTGGAGACAGGAGGGGTGGTGATGGCAGGGCTGGAAGGGGTGGTGAGGCAGGGCTGGAGACAGGAGGGGTGGTGGCGGCAGGGCTGGGGGGCTGTGGGACCACCTCTACTACTAACTCTGGTACCATCTCTGCTTCTACTTCAGCCTCTGGCTCCATCTCCGCTTCTGGTTCCACTATGACAGCCAGCTCCTCCACAACTGGTTCCTCCAGCACCTCTCCTGTCTCCATGGGCACCTCAGTCCCTGCCTCCGTCCCTGCCTCCGTCCCTGCCTCAGGCTGGACCTCCACTCCGACACCTGCCTCCACCCCATTGCCAGGTGCTTCTGCTGGGGCTTCCTCCTGAGCCTCCCCCTCCCCCTCCAATGTCTCCCCCTCGGCGCGGGCCTGCTGCTCGGCCAGGTTACGGTTAACGTTGATCTCCAGACTGAACCGGAAGTCTCCGCTGTTTGGGTTGGTCCGGCTCACTGCTCGCCACGACTGGTTGCCTCGGTGACCACTGCGGGTGGTGTTGCCTGTCCGCCTGACGGTGTTCAGCCAATCCAAGAGGGTGTCGCCGTTAGACGGGTCCTCTGGACCTTCTGCCGGTTCTAATGGAAGACAGAACATGTCAACATTCTAATGGGGGGGGGGGACAGTGTTGTTTGCAGTGACTTTGTTGTTGTTGCAATTTCACCATTAAGGATTCCATCTTTAAAAGTAGCCAAATTTGAATTTCTGCTTGAATGACATAATGAAAAGTTCAGCGTGCCTTACCTCCTTCTCCGTCTCAGTGCTGTTGATGCTAGGCTGCGGCTGCTCTGGCCCATCCTAAATCTGCTGCAGCGACTCAACAACTCCTCCGCTGTGATCTCACCTAGGAGGGATGAAACTACAACTCACTATACAGACACTGGTTCATTAAGTACCGTAAATACCCTAGTACTCAAACAAACTCCTCCGCTTGATATCACCTGGAGGGATGAAACTACAACTCACTATACAGACACTGGTTCATTTAGTACCGTAAATACCCTAGTACTCAACAACTCCTCCGCTGTGATCTCACCTAGGAGGGATGAAACTACAACTCACTATACAGACACTGGTTCATTTAGTACCGTAAATACCCTAGCATTTGCCAATAAAGCTGTAGTATATCTCCTGTTTACACAGGAACAGGACAGTACTGAGAACCACCAGACTTACCAGGACAGGCCCTGTCCTCTCACCACTCTCCCCAGGAAAGGTGCTCCACTATCAGACGCTTCAAACTTACTGCCCACCTCCCAATCCACTGGCCTGGATGTGACATGATAAGAAAAACTCAAACCTGGGACAACGACCTTAGATAGCCAATCCAAAAAAGCTGACCGAAAAAGTCATTCAACCCACAAACCTGCAGTAGAAAAACAAGGCCCTACATTTAAAAGAAAGCGAAGACATCTAACTTTTAAATGAGATAGAAAATCCATCTCTACACTGCTCTGTTAACCCTCTGAGATATGCATTACAGTTACCTGGGGTTGTTGTCTAATGAAGTGTTACAGGTGTGTTATAGGTTTAGAACAGGTGTTACTACAGGTGTATTAAAGGAGAGGCAGTTACCTGGGGTACCCAGCAGGTTGTTGTCTCTCATTAGCCGGTAGTCCGCCTCACTCAGGTTGTTGACAAACTGGTAGAAGGCCTCCTCCCGGTCTAGCCGGGCCCGCTGCCGCCTGCGCTGGGCCTCTGGTTGGTCACTGGCGCCCGGCTCGGAACTGTCGGAGCCCTCCATCAGGTGTCGAAGGGAATGAAGTCGGGAGATAAACGCTGTCTATCGCTGAGTCACCACGATCCAGCTGCTATGGATAATCTATCAAATGTAATCAATCAAAATGTATTTTTTACATCAGCAGTTGTCAAAAATGGCTGTTCCAGCAGCCCGGCCTAGACCCCAATGAGCAAGCAAAGCAGAAGCAAGAACTAGTCAGGAAAAAGTCCCTAGAAGGAAGAAACCTGGACAGGAAGCAGGCTGAGAGAAGGGGCTGTAGCGGGTCAACAACAGGTAGAGAATAGAAATGCAGAGCTGACTGACACAGCAAAGGGTCAGCAGAGCAAACACACTGCCCGGGTAGTGTTGGGGAAGGCCACAGACAGGAGACTGCCCGGGTAGTGGTGGGGAAGGCCACAGGCAGGAGACTGCCCGGGTAGTGGTGGGGAAGGCCACAGACAGGAGACTGCCCGGGTAGTGGTGGGGAAGGCCACAGACAGGAGACTGCCCGGGTAGTGGTGGGGAAGGCCACAGGCAGGAGACTGCCCGGGTAGTGGTGGGGAAGGCCACAGACAGGAGACTGCCCGGGTAGTGGTGGGGAAGGCCACAGGCAGGAGACTGCCCGGGTAGTGGTGGGGAAGGCCACAGACAGGAGACTGCCCGGGTAGTGGTGGGGAAGGCCACAGGCAGGAGACTGCCCGGGTAGTGGTGGGGAAGGCCACAGGCAGGAGACTGCCCGGGTAGTGGTGGGGAAGGCCACAGGCAGGAGACTGCCCGGGTAGTGGTGGGGAAGGCCACAGACAGGAGACTGATCAGATTCATGACATGCAGCACATTAATAAAAACATATTTTGATGTTATTGACAAGGCAAAAAAAAGCAGAGCTAGTCACCCCTAAATGACATTCATCAACAAATAGCAGAAAACAGGTTAACTACGTTCAGTAAACTACAGTTAATGAGGACGTTTCAGATATCAAGGAAAATTATTCCTGGCTTGGTGGTAATCCTTTACTCCGATGCAACAATGCCACCTCCTTTAAAAGCATTATCTAAACGGAATGCCGTGTTTCGATTAAAAATCAGCAACTTACCAGTCAGACCAAAGTCGAGAAAAACAAAATGGAATCATCTGGTGAGCTAACAATTAGCATGCTAGCTAGCTAACATCCTTAGCATCTGGCTGAAAATGGCATCTAAAAGATGCAGACAACTCTGTTAACTAACATTTACCGTGGCAAAACCATTGCTAGCTAACAATACACTAACAAGATTATTCTTTTTTTTATTTCAAGTTGTGACCATGGCAAACATTTCAAGTTGACAAGACAAAACTTTGCTAGCTAGTTAACGCAGGATAAACATTTGGCTAACTAACAGACCATATAACGTTGGCTAACGAGAAACGTTTAAACTGCAGTCATTTGTGGAATTAGTTAGTTAGCTCTTTTGATGCCTTTTGTGTTCGCTAAATATAGACATCCACATACACCCAAAAAAAATATATGATTAAGTTATCCTCTATACAAGTATTAGCATACAAGATGGAAGCAATTTGACGTTGTTTTTGTTGTTCATAACTGGCGTAACTGTGGCTAACTGGCTAGCTAGCTAGTAAATGAATGAATACATCGAAACAATGCTAGCTAACTACCTATATGGTAAACGGAATAAGGAAGACTGACATATTGTCACCAACATGAAACTAAGCCAGTAAGGTTCGAATAACGTTGGCTATTTAGCTAACAAGGTCCCTTTCAATATATATGTTTTTCACGTTATGTTAGCTAACTAACGTTAGCTAATGATTTATTCACACTCAGTTGTTAGCTACTAAGTGATTAAGCTGGTCAGCTAGCTAACGTTGGCTATTTAGCTAACAAGGTCCCTTTCAATATATATGTTTTTCACGTTATGTTAGCTAACTAACGTTAGCTAATGAATTATATTCAACACCAGTTAGCTAGCTAGGTGATTAAGCTAGTCAGCTAGCTAACGTTAGCTAATGAATTATATTCAACACCAGTTAGCTAGCTAGGTGATTAAGCTAGTCAGCTAGCTAACGTTAGCTAATGAATTATATTCAACACCAGTTAGCTAGCTAGGTGATTAAGCTAGTCAGCTAGCTAACACCTTCCGAAGCCGTTACGCCAAAGTTCGACAGCTAGCTTGCTAAGCGCTACCTCCTAACGTTAGTAGACCGCCAGCTAGCTAACAGGTTACCACAATTTAACAACCCACTTTATATTTTAGAATAAGAGTTAACAACGTCTACATTTGTCATCCTTTCACAGTACCTGTCTTGTATTTGTGTCGTTATTCGTTATCTTGGACTTTCGTAGTTTTATTCTCACAAATTCGCTTGAATAGTTGGGGACGGTCTCAGGATTCCATTTTCTCCATCATTGTACAGGGATCTTCCGGAAACTGGGGGAGCATGAAACGGAAGGACGATGTTTGTTTTTGGTCTGTACTTTGATTGCAGCGCCACGTTGTGGTGAGAGGTGGAATTGTCAAAAACAGAAACATTATTGCATGCAAAATTAAGGGCGTAATAATAAATGCAAACTCAATATTACCAATGTAGCTACTACTATTACAACAACTACTACTACTACTACAACTATACTACTACAACTACTATTACAACAACTACAACTATACAACAACAACAACTACTACATTTACATTTTAGTCATTTAGCAGACGCTCTTATCCAGAGCGACTTACAGTTAGTGAGTGCATACATTTTTCATACTACTACTTCTTCTACTACTACTACTACTACTACTACTACTACTACTACTACTACTACTACTACTACCACTACAACAACTACTATTACTACTACAACAACAACTACTACTACTCCTACTACAACAACGACTATTACTACTACAACTACTACTACTACTACTACAACTACTACTACTCCTACTACAACAACGACTACTACTACTACTACTACAACAACTACTACTACTACTACTACTACTATTACAACAACGACTACTACTACTACCACTACTACAACAAATACTACTACTACCACTACCACTACTACAACTACTATTACTACTACAACTACTACTACAACTATACTACTACTACTACTACTACTACTACTACTACTACTACTACTACTACTACAACAAATCATCATCATCATCAAAGTTGAATGCACCAATGTGTAAGTGGCTCTGGATAAGAGCGTCTGCTAAATGACTTCAATGTAAATGTAAATCAAAGGGATCTACCTGTAAATGAAAAAAGGATCGAAGACCATATCTGCCACCTTTACAACCATGGTGTAGCCCAACCAAATGGGATCTACCTGATCGAAGACCATATCCGCCACCTTTACAACCATGGTGTAGCCCAACCAAATGGGATCTACCTGATCGAAGACCATATCCGCCACCTTTACAACCATGGTGTAGCCCAACCAAATGGGATCTACCTGATCGAAGACCATATCCCGCCACCTTTACAAACCATGGTGTAGCCCAACCAAATGGGATCTACCTGATCGAAGACCATATCCGCCACCTTTACAACCATGGTGTAGCCCAACCAAATGGGATCTACCTGATCGAAGACCATATCTGCCACCTTTACAAACCATGGTGTAGCCCAACCAAATGGGATCTACCTGATCGAAGACCATATCCGCCACCTTTACAACCATGGTGTAGCCCAACCAAATGGGATCTACCTGATCGAAGACCATATCCGCCACCTTTACAACCATGGTGTAGCCCAACCAAATGGGATCTACCTGATCGAAGACCATATCCGCCACCTTTACAACCATGGTGTAGCCCAACCAAATGGGATCTACCTGATCGAAGACCATATCCGCCACCTTTACAACCATGGTGTAGCCCAACCAAATGGGATTCCGGATCGACCTGATCGAATACCATGTTGTAGCCAACCAAATGGGATCTACCTGATCGAAAGACCATGTTGTAGCCCAACCAAATGGGATCTACCCTGATCGAAGACCATGTTGTAGCCCAACCAAATGGGATCTACCTGATCGAAGACCATGTTGTAGCCCAACCAAATGGGATCTACCTGATCGAAGACCATGTTGTAGCCCAACCAAATGGGATCTTACCTGATCGAAGACCATGTTGTAGCCCAACCAAATGGGATCTACCTGATCGAAAGACCATGTTGTAGCCCAACCAAATGGGATCTACCTGATCGAAGACCATGTTGTAGCCCAACCAAATGGGACCTACCTGATCGAAGACCATGTTGTAGCCCAACCAAATGGGATCTACCTGATCGAAGACCATGTTTGTAGCCCAACCAAATGGGATCTACCTGATCGAAGACCATGTTGTAGCCCAACCAAATGGGATCTACCTGATCGAAGACCATGTTGTAGCCCAACCAAATGGGATCTACCTGATCGAAGACCATGTTGTAGCCCAACCAAATGGGATCTACCTGATCGAAGACCATGTTGTAGCCCAACCAATTACCAGTTAGTGGCATGCATCCAGGCCTAATAAACCCTGTAGTCCACACAGGTGGATTGGGAACTTCCCATAGTGCTGTAGGCTACAGACAGATAAGCAGCGTTTAGCCTGAAGCAGAGTCGTGTGTATAGGCTAGACATACATCTAAATATATGGCTCTGGCCTGAAGCCGTCCTTCATGATTTATAAGTCTCTCCACCAATGTTCCCTCAACATTTTTTGGGCGCTGAGCAAAATTCAGGTCTGCTGAGCACAAACTTGATAGTTGTAAAAATGTGTTACAACTTCCAGCGCATGTTTACTGTGAACACTGAGGCTCTAACTGCTTTAAGTTAACGTTTTAACAGTGGCCAAGTAGGCTACTGTGGCTATTTGATCCTAATGTAGGCCTACCAGAGTGGCCTACCATCAAAACAGTGGAGAAAATGCATCCCATAACATTTTAACATGGAAATAGCTGTTCTAATCATTCAGCCTACAGTAGCAGCCAATGTGTGGTGTTCACAACCTGTTTATCCACAAGGAGGTGACTGAAAATGTTGTAGGCCTACCATTATTACAGAGAATCAGACAAATTATGCCACCCTCTGCCTATTGGCTACTTAGCTTATTCAAGCCTGTCTCAAAATACAACACTGCCCCTTTAAGACAAAATAAAACTCTTTACCCGACTTGCTTTTCAAAGATGGCTAGAAATGTACATGTTTTGTAGGAACAATCACTCCCCTATTGCTGACTATAAATGATCTATAACTGGACTAATAACTCACTAACTAGCAAAGGATACGAACAAAATGTGCACACGTGGCTACATGCAGCTCTCGCTTTGATCTCAAAACAAGCGCATCTACTCACAACCGCTCATGCTGTAAACACAGTCCAGTTTAAAGTAAATGGTACAGATCCATATATGGCAATGGTCTATTTGCATATAGGCCTACTGCAGCTCTGATTGTTTACGCCACGCCGGTCTGTGTAGAGTACAGGGCTGAGTCGTGCCTGTCAATGCAATGGAATCCTATTCAGATGCGTTCTGCCTACAACAAAATCTCTTGGATAGTTTGTTTTGTTTCGGTATGTTGCATTGAAAGTGGCTAATATTGCGTTGATTCGATCACAGTTGCCACAGTAAAAGGAAACGTTGGTAGTGTTAACAGGGGAAACTCTAGAACAGTGGTCACCAACCTTTTCTAAGTCAAGATCACTTTCTGAGTCAAAAAGCAAGCAGAGATCTACCACTCAGATTTTTTTTTAACATGACTTAAAAAACGTAAGCCTATGCAACATTAACCAATTAAAAACAGTACAGTAGCAATGAGGTTTGTGCAGTAAGCTATAATGGCTTTGTTTGAATTGCCCTGCCAATGCATTGATGTTCGGGCCATTAAAAAAAAAAATATTTCAAAATTTGAGGTAGGCTATATGATCACACTGGTAATAGATATAATATAATATGATCACACTGGTAATAGATATAATATAATATGATCACACTGGTAATAGATATAATATAATATGATCACACTGGTAATAGATATAATATAATATGATCACACTGGTAATAGATATAATATAATATGATCACACTGGTAATAGATATAATATAATATGATCACACTGGTAATAGATATAATATAATATGATCACACTGGTAATAGATATAATATAATATGATCACACTGGTAATAGATATAATATAATATGATCACACTGGTAATAGATATAATATAATATGATCACACTGGTAATAGATCCGTTGTTGTATTACTTTTAAGGCACAGCTGAGTGACCATACATTTAAGTAATTTTCTTTTTCTTTTTCTTTTACTGGGCTGATGGTGCCTGCTGTAAGGGATCGGGGGTTGGCTGGGTCTAGACAGAGTCTGACACTTCCCCGATCTACAGAGAGGGGGAGTCATCAGACTCGATCTGGTTCACCTGAGTTCTGAGCACACCTGTCAGTAATTAGTGTAGGATTTAAGGTGTGCTCAGAAGTTCAGTCGGTGCGAGGTATTGTTTCATTGTGACTTGCTAAGCGTTTTGTTCCGAGAGAGAGAGAGAGTTTGTTGTTTTTGATTACCCGTGTATCCGACCTGTGCGTTGTTGTTTGACTCCCCGAATTGCTTAATCCTCTGCTTGTCTACCCCAGTGATTACCGTCCTCTGATCCTGTGCCTGTGCCCTCGACTACGACTAAGCCCGCTCCCTTGGTACCTCTGCCTGTCTCTGCCTGGCCCGGTTTTGACCACAGCCCGCCCGACCACGATTAAGCTATTCCCTTGTCTGTACTCGAATAAAGCATCGCTATTCTGCGATTGGATCTTACCACTCTGTCCGAGTATTCATTAGACCTGCATCTGATGGTCCGTCCCAGTGGAGGGAGAGAGCAGCAGACTGAGGGACCGCCTCTCAACAATGACCCAAGCCCAGCTCAGCCAATCCCTACCATTTTGACGCAGAGTTGTCAAAATGCTTTAGCAAATGTACATTACACCAGAGACGTCGGTAGACACAATATAAGTAGCCTAATTGATGTCCCTCTAACTGCCCTGAATGTCTCTGCTGATCCCACAGCTATTGGATGCAGTAATCATGTGCCTATGAACCGGAGTTATACTGTTAGCACTGAGCCGGTGTGCCTGAGGAGGCAGTCCACTGTGTGCAGCTCACCCTGCACTAACATAAAGAACAGGACCACATCTACTGCTGCTAAGCTTCCCAGTAAAGCAATAAAAACAAGTAAGCATCAAGGTTCATGAAATCAATAATTTGCTAGTAACAGATGACATTCATATTCTGACTATCTCTGAAACTCACTTAGATAATACCTTTGGTCTAAGGCACTGTATCGCAGTGCTAGCTGTGCCACTAGAGATCCTGGTTCGAATCCAGGCTCTGTCGCAGCCGGCCGCGACTGGGAGACTCATGGG